CTAAAAACCAGCAATCTAAATATTCACTTTAGGAAACTCAAAAAGAACAGTAAATTAAATCCAAAGTAGACAAAAAGAAATAATTAGAGTAGAAATCAACGAAACTGAAAATAAAGAATCAATAGAGAAGAATCAATGAAAGTAAAACTTGGTTCTTTAAAAATATCAGTAAAACTGACAAACGCCTTACAAGCTCAACTAAGAAAAAAGGACTAAGAAAGAAGTTTACTGACATTAAAAATTAAATAGGAACCATCACCAATGCCAAGGACAGCAACAACTTTATATTCATAAATTTGATAATGTAGATGAAATGGACTAATTCCTTCAAAGATACCTTCCACCAAACCACACAAAAGAAGATATAGATAATATCAATAGTTCTTTCTGTTAAATCAAATCAATAATTAATAGATTCTCAAAATGCAAAGCACCAGGTCCAGATGGGTTCACTAGTGAATTCTACCCAATATTTAAGGATGAAATTAGACCAATTCTCTACAATCTCTCCCATAAGAAAGAGAGGAAATATTTCCATAGTCTATAAGCCAGCATTATTCCAAAATCAAAATCAGAAAAGGCATTATATGAATGTACGAAACAGAGTAAACCCTAATGTGAACTACAGACTTCAGTTGATGAACTTTTCATTTTACAGAAAATTGAGCAGAAAGTATAGAGATAATGGGAACCCATGCATTACCTCCTCTCCACCCCATACTTCGTTTACCATAGTAGTCACATCTTATAAAATCCATAATATACATAGGGTTTGCCCTATATCTTGTCCAGTTCCATGGGTTTTGACAAAGGTATGCCACAAATGCAAACACAATAATTCCACTGCCCTAAAAATTTACTCTATTCATTCCTGTCTCACAAAACCCTGGCCAAGTACTAAGTTTTTAAAATTATCCCTATAAGGCTAGGGATGTAGCTAGCTCACACAGTGGCACATCCCCTGCCTGGTAAGCACAAGGTCCTGAGTTCCAAGTACCAAAAAAAAAAACTGTCTCCATAGCTTCTTATTTTTAAAGAATGTCATACAATTGGAAGATACAGATGAAGCCTTATTGGACTGGTCTCGTTCATTTAACAATAAGTATTTGAGGTTATTCCAACTCCTCTAACAGCTACATAGCACATTTCTTTTTATCACCAAATAATATCCCCCTATATACATACATCTCAATAATATCAATTTGTTTATCTATTCACCTACTGAAGGATATCTTGGTTGCTTCAAGTTGTTGCAATTATGAATACAGCTGATACAAATATTATGTGTAGTGATCTAAGTGGATTTAAATTATCAACTCATTTGGACAAATACCAAAGAACACAATTGCTGGACTGTATGGTAAGCCTGTTTAGCTTTTTAAGAAACTGCTAGATTGTCTTCCAAAGTAGTTGCAACATTATGAATTACTATCACCAAAAAATAGGCAGCTTCCTTTCTACAATAATATGTTTTTCAAATATTTTATCCCAGTCTGTAGTAAGGCTTTTTGTTAATGGCATGTTTCTAATTTTGATAAAATGTTTGATACAAAATTGTTTTAAGTGTTTGATCCATCTTACATGTCTATATTTGATTATCTAAGTAACCACTTTGAAGATATCAATATGTAATACAATAACCATTGTTAATTTCCTACCACCTTGTCTGAAATTCTGCATTGCTTGTACTGTTTTTGTGCTAGTTTCTAAATGTATGTGTTTGTTAATATGTTCTCATTCTTTTATCCTTAAAATTAAAAAATTTAATAACATTAATTTATCAAATATTTCATTATATTTCATACCTTTTATGTTTTATCTAACAAATCTCACGTGAGGCAATGCAGGTTATATTGTCTGATTTAGTCATTCTAAAAATGTACAGCTATTTTAAAATGTGTTGTACACAAAAAATATATACAATTCTTTTTTGACAATTAAAAAAAAGGCTTTGTCTAACCCAGTCACAAAATCTTTTTTGATATGTATTCTTTTAGAAATTTTGATACTTTTAGATCAATGGGCAATTTTGAGTTAATTTTTCCATGTAGTGTAAAGAAAAGGATAATTTCATTTTTTTGCCTATGAATATTCAGTTGTATCAACATTTAGTGAAAAGACCATCATCATTGAATTATCAATACGTTATTAAAAATCAGTTAGCCATTTATAGATTGATCTTTTTCTGGAATCTCTGTGTTCATTACTGTAGGGTTGGTATGAACCCTTGAAATCAGGGTGTGGAAGACCTCAGATTTAGTTTGTTTTCAAACTTGCTTTATTACTCTAGGTCCCTTGTGAATTTTAGAATATTTTACCGATTTCTTGAAATTTTGAACAGATCATGCTGAATCTATAGATCAGTGTAGGGAGGACTGACACCTTAAGAGAGTACTACAATCCCTTCATTTTTATATGATCTATGTCTGTACATGAATTTATGCCTTCATTAATTTCAATAATGTTTTTGCTTTCTGTGTATGGCTTTTTGTTAGAAAATTTATCCTTATTTAAATGATAATTCTCAAATTTCATTGTTAATATACAGAAATGCAATTGATTTATATGGATGATCTTGTATCATTAACTTTTATAAGCTCACATATTCTAATTTACAAGTTCTAGAAGAGTTTTTTAAGGGTAGATTCTTAAGGATTTTCAATATAGATGATGTCATCCTTGAATAAAGATGGTTTTTTTCCCTTTCCAATTTGTATGTCTTTTATTTATCTTTTTAGCTGTTACCCTTTTTGCACTAGCTATGAACTCCAGTGTCAAGCTGAACAGAGATAATGAAAGTGAACACCCTCACCTGCCTCTGTTCTTTAGGAAACCATTCTATCTTCCACCATGAATTATAATATTAATTGTGAGGATTTTAAACAAACATCATTTATCAGGTTGATGGAGTTTTCCTTTATTTCAAGTTTGCTGAGTTTTTTTTTTTTTTAAATCAGGAACAGATGTCCAGCTTTATGGAATTCTTTTCCTGAAAGTATTAACAAGATCAAATTTTTTAAAAATCATGTCTGTTAAAATGGTAACATATATTGGTTAGTTTTGAAATAGTTCAGCAATCTTTTTTTTTTTCCCCCCCAAAGAAAACATACTTGGGTAATGAGGTATTTGTTTTTGTATGCTGGTATATTTGATTTGCTAATATTTTCTTAACTTTAAATCTATGTTCACTGGGGACACTGTTCTGTAGTTTTCTTTTCTTAAGTATCTTTAGCTACTTTTAATAACCAGGGTAATACTAGCTTCATAAGACAACACAGAAAATGTCACTTCCTTCTTTTTCTTGAAGAAATCATATAAAATTAGTATTATTTCTTCCTTAAATATTTAATATGGAATTTATTGACAGGGTCCTCCTTTATTCCTATGATTTCTTTATACACTGTACTTAAGTAGTGATGCTTTTTTGTTGTCGAGATGCTGCTTGAATATTAAATATTGCTGAGTGACTCTGGTTTTTTTATTTCATTTTTAATCAACAAGCTTATGATTGTAGCTTACCTGCTCAAAAAGTTATTCAAACATTTCAACTACTAATAATGAAACAGATGATCCTCTGAAATGCCATAATCAGTGGCACTAAACCAATTTTTATCCAAAGAAATTGTTAATAATGAATACACATACACTCAAATATCCTGTGTTGTAAATTTGAGCACAGAATTTAGACAGAATACCTGCCCTAACCATTTTCTCTGTCATTTACTAGAAAAGTGACCTTGGGAAAATCATTTATTTATTTTAAATCTTAGTTTTAAATTCATAAAGTTGTCACACAGATAAAACAGTATAAAAACATTCACAAATGATAAGCATGTCATACAATGCCTTACAAACATTATTATAGTTTATAAATCTATAGACTAAAAGCCACAAAATAAATATAAAGGAACAGGGATATAACTGATTCATGGACAATAAAAACTAAGAATCAACAGCAGGACATCAATGGAAGTGTGAAGACTGTTTTTAAAGTACCAGTATGAACCCAGAGTAAGCCAGTTAGTATAGGGATAATTAGCTCTTACTTCTAAAGAATGTGCATCATTACCTCATCCTTACTAATGGAAACTTTGTAAAAGGTGTAATTTTTCAGAAGTCTTCGAAGAAAACAAAGTAAGAGACTAGCTAAAAAAAGAAAGAGAACCACAAAGGAGGGTAAAATCAACATTCTACGAGTGCTAAAACATAAAGAACGACAAAAAGGCTATATGAAGGCAAGGTAAGAGAGAGTATGTGACACAGGTTCTTGGAAGTAAGAATCATTTGGGACAAGTCTATAGCACGAGATAGCATGATTATGAAGTAGGTGATACACTAAGCTTCAGGATATTTCTAAAGGTTAGTATGAGGAAAAAGTATAAATGCAATGAAAGTGGACCAAATAATGCTTGTAAATGTGTATCTACAAATGAGAAGAGATGGCTCAAGAATTGACTATGGAAACAGATTTCAAATACCAGAGTTACTCAAGAATAAACAAAATTTCAAAAAAGTAGTACATAAATTAAGAATTTAAATGAAAAATGGTATAGTTATAATTTAAAATAAGAAAATCAATAATTTGCTGCTGAAAACAGATATAAGAGCACAATCTTAACAGTGCTACTATGATTTCTCTAAACCTTAACGGTATTAGTGCACAAACTAAGAATCATATCAATCCATATTTAAAGATAGAAGAGAAAGAGCAACACTACCAGGGATACAGCTCAGTGGCACAAGTGTCTGCCTGGCAAGCTCAAGGTCCTGAGTTCGATTCCCAGTACCGCCCCCCCCTTAAAAAAAAGAGCAACACTGGCCTCATATTTGTATATCCTGTATTAAGTTTTCATTATGTGATAAGTGCTATTATTTGCTAACTATTATTTGTTAACTATTGCTAGGTATACTAACCACATTCTAAAACAGCAATACTGTTTTACTTCTGTAAAAACACATTTTCAAAATAATTCGATGATTATAGTGATAAGCCAATATACCTTAGCAAGTGATTTCACAATAGGATTTTCCATAATTCCCTTGAGGAAGATTAGATCTATTTCTTCTGCTCCTGTAGATGAGGGCAGCTCTGTAAGGTTTTCCAAGACTTGCTGCATGGCTGCTGAGATAAAAATAACATTAAAAAAACAAAACTTAAATTTTAAGCCATTATGAAGTAAGATTATAAAATAATGCAGGTAAAAAAATATTAACAACAATTTTTGAAACACCACATTAGACTATATCTTATACATACTTGTATTTGCAGTGTTTTTCAAATTTGAAAACACTACTCAAGAAAAAAGTAGAACACCCAAATAGTCTTATAAAAAGTAAAAAAGATTTAGACAGTAATCAAAAAATTTCCCACAAACCCACAACCTGGCTTCATAGGTAAATTCTACCAAACATCTGAATAATAATTAAAACCAAATACTTCACAAAATCTTCCAAAAAACACCACAGAAGAGAATACCTCCCCATTCAATCTATAAAATCTACAACTCTCATACTAAACCCAAAGACATCGCAGTAAAATTATAACTAACATCCCTTATGAACACAGATGCAAAATTCTTTCAACAAAATACTAGCAAAATGAATCCAGCAACATATAAAAAGGGTTGAACACAAATTAAGTACAATTTATCCAAAGAATGTAAGATTGGTTAAACAAATGGACTGGTTTAATCAATAAAAATTCCAGATTTACAGAACAAAGAACAAAAATAAATGACATCTTGGTAGAAATACAGGGAAGAGTTTGTCAAAATCCAAAAACTCTTTCATGATATAAAAAAAATTTACCGAAGTAGGAATAGAAGAGTGCCTTTTTCAACTTGATAAAGGCACTTACAAAAAATTCTGAAGCTAATATCATAACTAATGGCAAAAGTCTAGACTAGAGCTTTGATGGTGAACTTACCACATACTCCTACTTAGTACGTGTAAATGACTTGAGGTGAACAGGAGTATAAAGTGCTCAAAGCAAGTTTAAGTGGACAGGAAACAATAGAATCAATTTTCAAAAATATTTTTGCCCCGTGTCTATCAAAGTACTTAGCTTTATTCATGATTAGTTATTTTTCTTTGCTTTAGCTTTCTAGATTTGTTTGTATTTCTATCTTTTGTTGTGGGAAATTTCAAACACACACAAAAGGAAACAGTATAATTAACCTAACAATTATCAGAGCCAATAAAGTAGCAACTCATGGCCAGTCTTGTTTCATGCCCCTATATACTGTACTTTCCTCTTTATGCAACTTAAAACAAATTCCATATATCTTATCTTGGTGTGTATGTTTACATATATGACATACATATGATCAGATGCTTTAATATAACCAAAATACTTTTATCACACCTAAAAGTTAATAATTCTTTAATGTTATCAAATATCTAGTGTTCAGCTTTCCAGTTGTACTGAAGATCTCTTTAAAAAGTCTTCTATATTGACCCTTGAAGGGCATAATTATTATTTTTATAGTGCTTAGTAAACTGGACAGAAAAGTGATGGAGACTGTGAAAGGTACCAACACTTGGCTACTTTGAAGATTGTCATAAATTGTTACTAATTCTTAACCTTATGGAATTTAATTAAAACACTGACAAATTTGTCAATATTCTATTTCCTGGAAAGAAATTTTGAATATCATGAAGTTGTAATCATTCTTAACTAATTTGTACATTTTGGTTCATTTCTAATTAAAATGCAAGACATAGTTTTTTTCTAACTACATTACTCTAAAAGCACATAAAAAGAGAAAAATGTGAAAAAATTTTAACAAAGGATAATGGCAAATGGGCCTAGTCCCAATTTACTAAAAGAGAGGTACTACAAAGTTCTTCACCAAAATTATGGAGAACAGAGTCTCTAAACTATTACTTTTTCTTTTCTTTTTTTTTTTTTTTTACAAGAATTTCCTCTTTTGCTTTTTTAAAACATAGAAACCAATTTTCCCCCACCATCACAGACAAGACTTTCATAATTTAAAAAAGAAGAGCTATGAGAAAATTAGCACTAACATAAATCTATAATAATTACTCAGAGATGGATAACCACAAGACAATTCTAGGGATGTAGAAACTTCATATATGAAAAAAGTAGCTTTTTGCAGTGGGAGCCTTGCAAATTTGAGCAAATGCCAGAGAAGCAGAGAAGTGTCCTAGGGTACTTTAGATTTCAAGAAGGAAAATCTCAAAACTTGAAGGAAAGTCACCTGCTAGCTCTACTCTTCCAAAAATCACAAAACAACATACCCTTTAGTCAGAGCCTAGATTCAATGCTATATCAATGGGACTGATACAGAAAATTAATATACTTAAACTAGACACCTATTACAAATATAAACAAACCAAAAATCACCAAACATTTAGGAAAATGAATGACCACCATGAATGAAATTCACCAAATTCAACAAGCAGAAGCACTAATACCCAAAGAACTACTAAAGGGGCCCAGGGTAGAGAAAGAAAATATTATAATGTACAGGAAGATAAAGCTGAAGAATCCTCTCACTTTTAACAAAGGGCAAAAGAGGCCTGCTGGGGATGTTGCTCAGTGGTAGAGTGTTTGCCTGCCATACACAAAGTTTGAATTCCCAGCATCACCAAAAACAAAACAAAACAAAACAAAACCCATAATCCGCCAAAAAACCACCTGTGGGTAGAGGGGTTTACAAAGAGAATGAAAGTACGAAAAAACTCCTACAAATCCAAGTTCAAACATTACAAAATAATAAGAAATCCAGAAATACAAAGAAATTAATAAAAAGGAAAACAAATGAGTGAATCAAAACTACAAATAAATGATAGATTTAATCATCACATTTACTGGAGAAATGTCAGAAACTTTACTAATAAAAGTCATGAACTACACAAGAATGC